AGCCTCTAAAACCAATCTGAAAATGTGGCCTCTGAAGCTTTATTTTCTCATTTCTAAAGTATAACTTACTGATGATTGTGCCTGCTTAGTGGTTCAAGTGCTTTGGATAGTTAAAGCTGTGGTTGATGTGACCATGTCTCAGGAGATGGTTTGCTTTCTGTTTACACAAAATGCTTGTGAATGGAGGCAGTGTTCCCTATAGCAAAACTATCAGCCTTCAAGCACTCATGTTAGGATTAGCTCATGGGAGCACAGCCTGTGCAGCTGGCAGTACTGAACCCCACTTCAGGCTTTCTTAGGGGGCTGTAATGACCAAGGCAGTGGATACGGTGTGAAATAACCGGCTGCCCTTCACTGGCAGTGTTTGGCTGCTGGGGTTACATGGGGTCTGGCATGGAGGTTACCTGTCTTTTTAGGGAAAAGCCGACAGGTGAGATTTAAGTCATTTGGAGGGTCACAAGTTGGACCTCACACAGATGAAGAGGAGGGGCAAAGGGCAGGCTCCTTCTTCATCCACACATACCCAGGCAGCAGATGCTGTAAACGGTTGTGAAATGCCTGTATGCTCTCCTCCTCAGAGGCTGTAAGGGTCTGGGGCTAAGTGAGTACCTAGAGGGAAGACTCCTTAATACCACACACAACAGTGTTGCTCATTATACCCTACTTCCTGTTGTGTAGGATTGCATACATCACCTTTGTTGTCTCCTTGCAACACCCAAGCATGTCTGCTGCCCACTGTAGGTTTGCTTTATTGCAGCTACAATTCAAACGTAGTTGGGATTCTCTTCTTTTCTTTGGGCCCTTGGAGTTAAGCGCTTTGCCCAGTTTGGTGTCAGTCAATAGCAGGTAAGGAGGGAGGGATGAAGCTGTACTGCCTCATGTGGGGTGTGTGCTGGAGTGCAGCCAGGGAAGAAGGAGCATTCCTGGAGGGTTTGTGTTCCTGCTGCTGTGATCTCTAATTCCTGATCTAGCTTGGCCCAGAAGCTCTTCTAGATGGCAGCAGAGTTTAAATTTGCCATTGCAATGGGCAGATAAAGGCACAGCAAATCACAGGTCTTGATAACTAAGGCTTTTGTATTTTTTTGCCTTCCTCACACTGTGTAGTATTAGAATTCTCTCTGTATTATGCTCAAGTTTGTAGTTTCTGGGGGGACTTGCACTGAACAGCCAATGCAATTCAGGTAAGCTCCTGCTGCATGTGAAAAGATAAATCTTGACCTCCTAGCTGCTGTAACTTGGTTTTCTGTTGCCATTATGTGAGGCGGAATATAATGAATTTTGGAATATTTGAAAACAGCATTTGCAAGGAAGGTGCAGGCAACAAGGGCAAAAAGAACAGCATGCTATTCTGCCTTCTCCCTCGAGCAGTGTGAGAATAGAGAGTTGAGTGAAAACCTAATTTTGTTTTTAGGAGAAAAAAAAAGTCTACATGTTGAGCATACACATAAGGCCATAAATCACGGAGAAGGTGCTGCTGAGGTTAGTGCTTGTGCAAGCATGTAGATAGAGGGGTGCTCAGAACAGAAATGAGAACATTACAATGGAGTGACACCATGCCACAGAAGCGGAGTGGAAAGGGTCTGCAGTAGCGTCGCGGCATAAGCACTCTTGCTGTAAATTTTTGGTTAAGGTTCCTATCATATGCTTCTATTTTTAACACAGTTAAAATTAAACTCTGCAGCCAAGGCTGAGCGCTAGAGATTCTTTCTTCAGCATTGCCAGTATCTTTTTTTGTCAATGGTCTTCTCTTCTTCGGGATACTTCAGCTACTCAGGCTGGAAAGTATCATCTCTCTGCCTCAGGACTGACCTGTTAAAGGACTTCCATCAACAACTAGATGAGATTGTCGTGACAGTGTCTGGTGTCAACTTTTAATTTGTAAGCATTCTCCTCAGCCCTCCGTGGATAGTTGCTGCTCAAAATCTGCACGAAACTGTCCTTAATTCACCCTGCCTAATGCTGTCGCACAGATGGCAGTAGATCAGGGAGCACCATTGTAACTAAGAAAGACATGGAAGTTAGGGTCAGAGCTTCAGTCTTAATGTGAGTTCATAGCCTTGTTACAAACACCCTTAAAACAGCCTCTGGGTCTGCAAAGTGTTCTGACACCAAGCACCTCATAGTCGGGTTTTGCATTTTCTCTTGCTGGCCTCACATATCATGTGTTTATTTTTGTATTTGTTTTTACAATAGCAGATTATTAAATTCCTTGAGGCTGCCTCTGTCTCTTATGTGCTCTGTAGACTACTGGATAGACACAATTTGCCATACGAGTACGAACCAAAGCTGTTATGCACAGCATGGAGCTCACTCATGGAGTACTTAGCATCTGCCCTTATCTCCATTTAGGACAGAGGGAAAAGTGACGATGGTGGTTTTAACTGGTTGGTGTTTCAGGCCCTTGCCAAGCAAAGGAGGATAATGTGTTTGGTCATGTTGCCTCAATCAAGTTAGCGTAACATGACTGACAACCCCTTTAATGCAGGCTGCAATAGTTGGAGCAGTGTTGGCTTGGTGAGCCATGCTGAGCTTTCTCATCTCCACCACCTTCTGCTGCCAGCTAAGACCTCTTCATTGATGGCTGGCATTTTCCATGATGTTAAAAAGATTTATCATCTTGAGCTCCTTTAACTCACAACACTTTCTGATTATCAAAAAAAAATTTACATTTTTATGTGTGTCTGCAAAAGATTTGTTTAAAAATTCAGCAATACCTGCCTCATAATGTAATTTAAAATTTATAGTCTATAGCTGCTTTTTTCCTTCTCTCATAGGGGAAAGAGAGTACAATTAGCCCTTTTTAATCTTTCTTGTTCTTCATTATGTCTGGCAGGTGGAGGTGAAAATAGATTGAGATCTACAGTAAACTCATTCAAAGAGCTAGTGCTGTACTCATATAGAACTTTGCTTATGAGTTTTAACAGATTTTTGTACTGTATTAGCAAAGTGTAATTACCTAGGGAAAAAAGTGCCTGAGAAGAAGTAGCCATTAAAAATACATTTACCAGCAGTAGCCATGCTACAGTAGTGGAAATTCTTCTCTCTCTTTAATACAGCTTAATTAATTATTATTATTCCAAATTCAGTGCTGTGTGTGTTTTTTTTCTTTAAGTAAGTTGCACCCACTACAGTAGCGTAAACTCAGCACAGCAGCAGCAGGCTGTGCAACAGAAAGCACTAACCTTGGAGGACCATCTTTTGTGGGCCGATGGGGCTTTTTTTGTAAGCTGAGAAGTACTGTTAAATTAGGATTTGCAGTTTCATGCAGAAGTCCTTGTGCCTTTTGGTTTCTTTCTGCCATGGCAAGAGTTGAACAGAGTTCTGGTTCTGACACTTAGTTTCCCGAATAGTCTGAAGTTTCTATTGACTGAAAAAAAATGTACCTATTGCAATGAAATTGGTACCACTGTGTAAAAGACAATGTTATTTTCTGCTCATGACTTGACAAATGATAGAAAAAGTCAGATTAAATTTTTTTTTTTTTTAAAGGGGCAAGGTTTTTGATTGTAACTGGGGAAATTTCACCATGATACTGCTTTTTGTCAGCTGTGTAACTTTTTAACTGTAAGTTATTTTTATGTTATTATGGGTATACCTTTTATTCATTAAATATATTTGAAAACTGCAGGGTTTTTTGCCTGTTTTCTAATTCAGAATCCAAATTTGAACCATGAGCCTGTTTGTACAGAAATGTCCTTGAGAGAGATGTTGGCACTACTACGCTGAGAACGTGCTGCCATTGAGCTAGTTTGAATTAGTGTTGCAAACTCTGCATTTGCAAAAGGTGACTAAAATCCCAGGGATCTACCTGCTGCACTCCTCCTATGACAATATCTGTTCATCCTCAAGCAGACTTCTGAAGAAGCATCTTTGAGGTTTGAACTAAATATAGTCTTTGAAATGTATGGGTTAGCAGCATCCACAAGGGAACTCCAAAACCCTGGTGCTAAATGGGATTTCTTTCCCTCATCAATGCAAACTTGAATGGCTGCCTCCAGTTGGGCCTCCTGTTAGTAGTTTGATCAACTACAGAATTTACACATGCCAGTGGTTGGCCCTGGGAGCTGAATGCTAGAACTGCTGGGTTTCCACCTCAAGCTAGGAGCTGAAAAACAGAAGTTTCCCTCTTCCCCCCCCCCCCAAAAAAAAAAGCATAACACACTTAAAAACTGTACAGGATTAAATACTGGAGCAGACAGTAGAACCCAACTGTGTCCTGCTCATTTTTGGTATGCCAGCTGAATGATCAGTTATTTCCATGGAGTGGTGTAGTTCCAAGTGACAGCAGAAAGCCACATGCCAAAGGAGCATGCAGCCTCATGCTTAGAGCAGCTATATGGGAAATGCAGGGTCAAGTTCTCTCCACAGAGAAAAAGCTGAACAGGCATGCATGGTCCATGCACTGAGCTAACATATAAAAGGGCAACACTCCTCAGCAGGTTGTGCAGGGCCAGTAGAATTGTGATGGTTATGCTGAACCTCACAGGTCAAAATGAATCTCAGACAGCTCAGGTGTACATTAGTGATGCAGTCTCAGAACTGAAAAGATTTGCCTGCGTATCCAAAGGATGTTATCTGGGCACCTACAAAGAGAAGGCAAGCAAAAAGTCTGACGATTTAATTTTTGGATGCAGGCACTTACATCTTGTGGTATTAGCCTCAGGCACTTACTTAAGCAGCCAGTGACTTTGTCCTTCCCCCTCTCTGTCAGAAACCAGGATAAATAGGGGAGTACATAATTTTTTTCCTTCTGCCAGGCATGGAGGTGTGTGTGACCGTTCTTAATTACAGCTGGATGTTTTAATCTTAGGTACTGGTGTGCCCATACCAAGTTATTAGTGGACACCACTAGATTTCACATCTAAGAGCTGTGAATTTCCCTTCTCACAAAAAGGAAGCTACAAAAGCTGAGTTTACACTTGCTTTATTACAAAACTGACCAGTGCAACTTCAGTTCTTTGTGTACTCACACAGGAAGTTTTTCCCTCCCCCCCCTCCCGCCCCCACTTACTTACGTGGAAATGGCATTTTTGAACATCCCACCAAAGCGGAGATGGAAATGACCGGCTGTATCGTCTTCTGCTGCAAATGCTTCTTGATTTTTGTCCTGCCTTTGGCTGATGCATCCAAGGAAGACTAGAACCTGATGCTCTCTGAAGAGTAACCAATGTGGGAAAAATAATCCTCTTTCAAGCTAAGTCACCAAAGCTGATTTGCAGTGAACAGAACCGAACTAAACAGAATGAAGCAAATGGCACCTTCTGTAGGTATTTGTGCAGTTATTTTGTACTGTTATTCTGACAGCTTCTTCTCCAGTATTTGCTTCACCAGAACAGGATTGGATCGTCCTCGTGTTGCTCTCTGAACCAGTCCAATTAACTTATTTAGAACTTTTAGGTTTCCTGCTTTTATTGCCATAACCTTTAAAAGCAAGAGAGAGACGCCACTGTTATGGGGAAAAACGGGTATCTTCACTCATTCACAGCCTCGGTATGACTATTTTTGTCCTTTGGACCATGGTTGTAGAATGCCATGTTTTTGGGGTTATTATTTACAAAAAACACCTTCAATTGTGCAGTAGCTCTGGGCAGTTCCTACTCCACTCCCATGAGACAGTAGCAACTCTCTACAGCAGCAGGGCTTACAGCTAATAGAGAGATTTACTTTTATTGAAAAAGTCAAGAAAACACTTTTGGATTTAAACAGTTTCTGAAAGTCAAACAGTAACTCCCTCGAAAACAACCAGAAAAATGTGACGGATTTTTTTTCCTCGCCCCAATAGCATCTATTACACTTTTGACTCAAGGTACTGGTCAGTTATAACGAATAACTAACTGGCATTGAATGACAACTTGATAATATTTGTGACATCCTTCAAGTGAAGACTTAGGTATTTCTGTAGTATCATGGTATTTCCTCTAAGCTAGGAATCCTCTGTACCAAAGCAATTAACTTACTCATCAGAAATATGACCTATCAGAGAGCCAGTGTTTGATTCACAATCATCACCTGCAAAATATCAGGGGCCATATTTAAATGCTAAGTAAAAACACTGGGGAGGAAAGAGTCAAACTCCCTTTCAAGTTTTCTAAAGGAGATGCCCCTGCTGAAACACAAACTTCCTGCCCTTGTATTGTTTGTGTGGCAGGGAGGGCATTCTCTGCACTGTCAGAGTTCCTGGGCAAAACACGATAGCTTCAACTAAACAGGATGTCATAGTCACAGACGGTAAGGGTAGAAGGACTGATAGCATATGACCCACCAACTGCGGCAAGAGCATGCACAAATGCAAATATCGCTACTCATTAATGTATCTGAATTATTGGCAGGCTGAAATCTTATCTGTAATGTCTCAATATGGAAAGGACTCATTACTCCTTATCTGCTAGAAATTACCTACACGGGGAAGAGTACACTACAGTCTAGATACTGCATTTTCATCAATTGCTCTGTGTTGGTTTGAGCAACTGCTTGTGAGTTAATTCATTTTAAAAAGGTTACCATCAAACAGCAAGGTGTACCCTTTCCTTCCTAGCAAGTACTCAACTATGTTTTGAAAGGTAAGCTCTCTTAGCAATTTAAAGCACTGAATTACAGGCCTTCAAGACAGCTGTTGCCTTTGTGAAATATCACCTGGAAAAAGTTGTAAGGCCATTTTACTGCGTTCAGCTTGACTGAAACACTGGAAAACAAAGAGGAATTAAATTTGCAGAGAAGGCATTATTATTGAAATGGGATTGTAGTTATGGACCTTCAGCTTTTGCACTTCCCAATCAGTTCTAATGTTCTTTCTATCCACACTTGTGCTTTAGCAGTAGTCTGAATACACAGAAGCACTTTTATCAGCCTCTGCAAATGAGTCAGTCTGATGGAGGTCACGCCAACCTACTGCAAGCTCATTTTCTTTATCGAAAGCTCTTGCAGAGCTGTTAGCACCCCCCAATGAGATCTGGGGTAGGTGGTATTGTTCTCAAAAGATGTTAATTTTTTTTTCCAAATGGCAAATGTATCTAGACAATGTTTATATTAGAAGTAAGCTATTCACTCCTGCTTTTACATTTTTGCTCCAGAGAATGTATAAGCGCTTGTTTCCATTTTGTTTTTCTAAAGCTGATGTTAGATACCGTCTAGACTCCTTCCTACTCCTTCCCTTCATGCTCAGCAAGCTTTTTCCCTTTTCCTGGCTCAGAGCGTGTTAGATCGACAGGCTGCTGCATGTCCCTCAAAGGAGACAGGGACGAGACAAACCCACGTCTTTCCCACTATGGCATTTGCACTGCTGCAACAGCCCAGGAGCAGCAGAGCTCAAGACACCCAATGCTGCTGCCACGCCGGTCCCTCCTCCCACCCCACAGACCCTCTTCCGCTGCAGAGCCAAGTGGCCTTGTCCCTTCAGCAGTGAAGGGAGCCAGGGACATTGGCAAGAGAGACATAAGTGAAACTCTTGCCTCACCACTTCTGATGTTGTCTCTAATTCCATAACTAACATACACTTTGCTGGTAGATAACCTCAGTCTTCATATTCAGAACAGTTTAACACTGTTGCCCTAACATCACAAAAGATGACACAAAAATCGGAGTTATGTTTATCCAAGTGGCCAGGTCAAGTTACTGGCAGTACACTCCATAGCTGAAGAGGAAAAGACCTCCACAGTTTTGCTTTCTTGCAGTGATTTTTTTATGGTCTTTCAGAATGATTTGACACGTTAGCCAGACTGGTAATTTCTTCTGCTAATCATTTTGTGTATGCTCCAGTTTCCAAAAAACAAAAAAACAAAAAAAAAAAAAAAAAAAAAAAAAAAAAAAAAACCCAAAAAACCCACAAAAAAACCCAAAACACTTAGTGAAATATGAAAGGAAAAAAAAGACCCTGATGAAAACTGAACAGCAGCTCTATAAAAACATGAAATACTTCCTATACTGTCTCTAGAGCTCAAATAGCAATCAAAAGGGGGGGGGGAGGGGAAGGCCATTTTAATCCCCTTTTTAGTGCCACAGACTACCAGAGTGCCCAAGCTTCCCAGCATCATCATAATCACCTCATCTTCTTGTCCATCAATCACCGCCTGGCAGATTTGTTCAAGCTCTTTTTGATCCTGGATCAGTTCAAGTTTCTTTTCTTTAACAATTTCAAGAGGGGTCTTCCCTTCCCCCTTCCACAATTCCTCAAGCACCTGAAAATCACAGTGAGTAGCAATGGTCAGAGTCTTTATATACCAGTGTCATTTATGTGCAGTATTTCGGTTACCGAACTAAGAAGTCAGATTTTAGTAACAGCCAGAGCAGGTGGTCTAAATGTGAACAAACCCAAGACTTAACCCATGCCTCACAGAAAGAGCTCTTTTGTCCTCCCTCCACAATTGCAGCCTGAAATGAAGCAAAATATTTTCACATCCTGCATAAGAGCAGGGTAATTGCTCACAAACGGTGCTCTGCAGCCTACCACAGCCCTCAGAGCTACCTGTTCAAAGAAGTTTGCCTAGCATAACCCCAGTGCACCTCGCTGTGCCTGCTTTACGACGGTGCGCACTGCGCACGCTGCATGGAGCTACTTCTCCCGCGCTGGCAGGGGAGGAAACGCAATGGCAGTCACTGACTGCAAAGCTGTTTCTTAGGCAGGACTTGTGCTCATCTCACATTACTCACAAGAACTGTCTGAGAGCAGTAAGAAAATGCATTTCCATGACAAATGTCTCTGCGCAGGAACTGATGATTAGCTGACCGTTGTACCAAGTCCAATCCCAGGTAACACATCCCATTACCAATCCTCATCAGCAAGCTGTAATGAGGATACATATGACAAAGCAGAAGAAAAACAGTGCCAAGCAGAATCTATGCTGCAGCTCCGGCTCATCTATGTATCACCTCCAGGTACATGAGTGCTGGCTAAATCTATGCCTCTGGAATAATTACTAGTTAATGTGAGTGTGTTTTCCTGTGCTGCAGCAGGGCTATCGCCCTAGAATAAACCTGAGAGAAGAGAACATTTATAAAAAACCAATTTCCTTGGGCAGTCATTTTCTGTATTCCCTCTGCTCTTATTTCAGAAAGGTAGGAGGAGAGAAAGAAAACCCTTATTGAAACAGCTGCTTGTGCTTGATCTTGCACTGAAGATATAATTGTATGTTTGGGCCATCGCTCTGTACCGATCTGGAAATGGATGTCATGTCAAAAATTGAGCATTAAGTACTTACTGTAGGATGAAGAGGAGGCTGGGAAAGGGAGAGGAGAAGGGGCATTCAATCTGCATGCTAAATAATTAGCAGGGCAGCAAGACAAATTAGCATGTGGGACTGTATTTTAACTATCCCAGCAACTTTCTTCAACACAAGAATTTTCTGGTACAAAAGACCTTCAGTGATACAATTTTATAGCTACAGCAGGTACTTAAGAAACATGTATTGACACTGTTCCTGCAAGGAGATGGATCTGTTTGCCAGCTGTACCCCTAAAGCTTTTGATGAGATTGTATTGCTCTGCTAGAGACCTCAAGAGAGGGTAATGACACACAGCTGTACCACGAAGGCTGTTATCTTGTGCGTTCTCTGTAAGAAGGTGAAGGGCAGAAAGACAGATCACAATATTAGAGTTACTGATAAGTAGTTAGAATTACAACCACTAGAAGTGAAGGTTTAAGCTGTTTGTATCTAAAAATCAATGCAATATAAGACATCTTACACAAGCCTTTCCTTTTAGTGCAGTACTTAAAAATCATCACACCAGAGCTACCTAAAACACCCTAGAAAAAAATACATCCAAAAGAGATTCAACCTGTCTGCTGCTGCTTGCCTTTCTTTTGTCCCACTCCACTGCCCGATTCCACAGGCAGCCCCCAACCGCTCCTTTCCCGAGGGACCAGGCAGGAGCTTTCTGCCCTCCGTTCTGAGGCCTCCTGCAGGGCTGGGGCAGAAGAGCAGCCCTCAGAAGGAGCTGCCCCCTCTTTGCGCAACACAGCCCACAGCAAACACCCCGGAGCACCTGAAGTGCTGCACAAACCAGAGACTGGCCAACGAACAAGCCACATGGCCTTTATGGAAAACAGCAGAAGTCGTTCTGAGGACCAGGAAGTATTCAAGCAGGATGCTGTAGGCTGTGGGAGGGGAAAATCTGCAACAAACAAAAGCTAAGCAGCCAGCCATGGCGGAGTTACCCAGCAGCACCTCGTACATCAACCTGACTTAGATCAGGGGCAGGGCAGCTTGACAATCAGAGATCCCACTCTGAGTCCCTGCTATTCCTATGCCAAACATCTGCTGGCAGAGAGAAATGCTTGCCCATTAGAAACCTTAAGGCCCAGATTTTCCCTGTGGCATCATGGGTGCTTTTTAATTTGGTAACAAACACATCCACTAACTAGTAGAGCAACAACGTTATCGAGGACTGTGCTTGTTCATAGGTAGGTAGGAAAGCAGAAAGAGATGTGGCCAAGTCCTGTCAAAGATGTACTTTTAAAAAAAGTGTTTCTCTACTTGGCACGGAGTACAAATCTAAAGAAAGCAGTTTAAAAAGTGATTTCAACTCATTTACACAAACTGCCTGCACCAGAACAGTGGGATCAAATTATGAAGTCTCCAGAGCCAAAACGAGAATCTCAAGCCTCATTTCCATTGCTGAAATCTCCATAGTTTCTACTATTGATTCTTGCCTGAGCGTGATTAGATTTTAATGATGTTCTGCTGTCTCTACCTACACAGGCATAGCAGCAAACCATTGGTCAAGATGAATTAATCAGGACCTTAACGTCTGGCTGCCACAGGCATCATATCAAACATTTTGCAACTGGTGAACATGCCAGCTGACTGCCATGCCTGAGAACAGCTCCAACTGGAAACTCTACCTACAGCTGTTTGCTGCCAAAGGTGGGAGGGAAGCAGCCGGCACCACCACTTGAGCCAGGCCTGTGGGAATCTCTCCCTTCCAGCGATGGAAAGCCTTGATGTCTGGCGGTTGTCCCTCAGCCTCTGACAAAAGCAAGGGCTAGGCTGGGTCCAGTGCTCCAGATGGTACAGCCATAATAGCCAAAGCAGATGGTTCTGTTTAGGTTTGTGTACTGTACTTATCTCCCTGGTAACTGCTTGTATGTAGGGGGTGCCAAATGGGGGTCTCAAAACATTCCTATGTGGATGACCTACACAACTGCATAAGCAAACGCCACTTGGGGTCTGGACTCTTCCATACCCTGCACTAGCTCCCCGATGAGCATGTAACAAGGGTTTCCACGCTGGGTTGCTCGAGCATGGCTGTCAGCAGCAGGGGTAAGTTTCTGCTTCCCTGGCCCAGAAACCACCCTCCTCCTACAATGCCATAACTCAAAAGCAGAGCCCTTACGCCATGGATGTAGTTGCTGCCAATCCTGCAAATGAGGGCTGAGGTCCCACTTGAGGCATACTGTCCTGTCAACCTGGGCTCAACCCTGCTCTCGCACCCTGGGTCAGTAGCACCAGTATGTCCCACTGCAGACTTCAAAATGGTGCCTCCTGGGGGGTGGGGAGAGGGGGGAAGGCAGAGCACGTGTCTGTGCAGGCTCCCTGGATCCGGGACATGCTCACCCCACAGCCCTGAACACAGGCAGAGCTGGGAGCTGCTTCACTTTGCAGAGCCGTGTCAGTCTTGAAACCACTTCAAAAACCTCTGGAGAAGGATGCTGTATTTGATAGCAAGTTGGGCGTGAGCTCTGTAATTACCTAAGTGGTAATTATGTAAGCACACAGTGCCCTTTCCTTGGCATATGCTTACTCCTATAGAATGTTCTGTGTTTATAATCAGCGCTCACAGCTTTTATCTATCTGGTTTTAATGCCTTATTCAGCAGAGACTGAACACAAACCTCTTTAAAAATTTAAACTGTTAACAACTTCCTACAGTGACTATGTATGCACACGCATGTCTGTGTGCTCACCCCATCAAACCCTTCCATCATTTCTTGTTGGATCTGTCTCCACCACTGCAGTTCATTCTCCTCCACCCGAAGTGCTGCAATTCATCTGCTGTTGTGTATATATAGCCCCTTCTGCCCTCAGGCCATCCAGTATCTGTGCCTACTGCTGAGAATTGCTATAAACATTTGTTATTCTTCTGACATCTAGGCAACCAAAATACTTTTCTAAATGTGGCAAGGTTGCTGCAGTTTGATAGCATCACTCAGTGATGGCAAGCAGTACTGTTATTACTCTGTGTCCAATTTCAGAACACACAGGACAACACGCACATTACAAGGAGTTAGTAATTAAACAAGAGATACATCTCTGAAATTCCTAATGTTTCACAATCTCTCAGAAGTGCTGGCATACAAATATATTATAAGGCAAAAAGCTCCTTTACAAGAGCATTAATACCCTGTCTCTACCTCCACAAGGGGCTGAGAGTTAAAAATGGAGTTATGAAGTCTCTCTCAAACGCAGACTCCACTGATGGGCACTCCATAACCCCGCAGGCACAGAATTGCTGTGCATCCCAATGCACTTGCTATTAATATTTTATGTCCTTTCTGAAGCTTTTACTTTTCTACTCCAAAATTACCAAATGCACACGCCCAAAGTTAGACATTTAAATCCATATTTATGGTGCCTGTAATAAGCAGCTGGCTATTCAAAGAAGCAGAGCAATCACCACACCAATTAAGAACCACGAGCACCTCTATTTAAAAAAAAAAAAAAAAAAAAGGGGGGGGGGGGAATTAAAAGAAAGGCAAACAGCCACATTTACAATTCTTACACTTGGTTTATAATCATGCAAAAAGTGAACTGACCCCAGTACTGTTCCAAAGCTATACTTGGACTGAATCAATACATGCTAAAGAGGTAGACCTGCCCTCTATATTTCAGAGTGTTAAAAGCTTGAAACCACACAAGGTAAGTTACATATCTTCATTAACCATTTCACAGATGACCACCTGAGAAGAAACAGCCGTCTAATATACTTATCTAGAAGACATTAATTAATCTGAAAGGCCAACGCACTCCACATAAAACGAGCCTGCAAGAATTTGAGATGAATGATGATTCCCTATCACCAAAAAAATCTCAAAATGGTGTCTATATACACAGAGCACTCACCATACCTATTATAAGCAGTTCACAACTTCACATACAAATGTGTCTCATGATGACTTCCCAGACTGTCCTAAGCAAGATGATACTTAAAAAGGGAGGAAAACTGGCTTTACCCACAGTACTTGCTCAAAACAGCTAAGATAGTTGCTCCAAGAAGCCAGAAGAAAATCAAAGAAAGGCTATACCTCTCCATTTTTGACTCGAGGGGTATGCCACAGTAGCCCTCTTTTTCTGAGTACACCCAGAGGAACTATATCCTTTTCCATATGCTAACATTCAGGAATGTAACACCTAGTATGCCATAGTATTTAGTAGCTGAAACTCTCGGTCTAACTGCAAGTCACAGTTTAGTTCCTATTGACCATTCACTCAGGGCTCTACCTACCAGCCTGAGATCTAGCGTTCAGCCTGTTCGGAAGCAGGATTTCCTCAATTGACTTCAGTTCTCGTTGCTTAAATCTAGTATTTGGTTTACGAACCCTTTTAACATTGAATATACAGATATATCTGTAAGATTATATGTGCACAAGGCATTATCATCTATTACATGTATATAGTATATAATAGTTAAGGATATATTTTATCTATATATAAAATTTATCCTTCATCAATACTCTAAATAATTTACTTTTTAAAATAACCAATATACTGGCACATACTTTTTATAAAATTGCTCTGTAAATAGAGTAAGCAGCTACACATTCAAAGTACAGTAAAATCAAAAAGGTACTTACTTGTTTGGCTGCTGAAGAAGAAATTTCTCTTTTTTCTAGAAGGTTCAGAAGGTCCGCCAGGAGAAAAGAACTGACGGGGCTATAGAAAAAGGGGCACCAAACCAAAGTTACCTCAGAACATAAAGGATAAGAAATATATCCAGGCTACTGTTGTTTGCCTAAAGCTCACACAGTTTAGCATGACAAGCTAGTATCTTCCTCGTGATACACTATATTCAACTTCTAAAGTCTGTTTTTGATTGCCTGATTATGTTTTACCATTCTCCTGTTTCAAAGGAGCAAAGCCACTGATTACTACTCTTAAGTAAATGGTCCTCTTCTCTGGAAGGCATTTGGTTAACTTCATTCATCATGACGCTGTCAAGGCCAAATAGCTTTCCCTAAAGTAACAAACTTCACAGATAATAAATAAAGTAGAAGTGAGCAAAGGAGTGACAAGATACTATTCATGATACGTGAGAAAAGGAACATTTTTGTTTCAGCATTGTAGTAACCAGAAAGCCTTACCTTTCCTTCACTGTAAGGGCATGCTGTTTTAAGTAACTGAGTAGGTCATTTAGAATCCAGCCGATCACTTTCTTTGGCTTCATCTGCGTCTTTTTTATTACATTTTCAAAGTATTCTGCTAATCCGTCTTCATTCTGTTTAAGAAAAGTTAAATTGCATCAAAGATACTGAAGTAAAAGCATGATTACTTTCATTACACATTATATTCAGAGTATAAATACACAGTCCTAAAGTAAACTTGATTTAAGGAATTCATTGTAAAGTCATAAGACTTTGGGGTAATTTTACTAAGGTAACCGCAAGGAAACTGTTATGTCTAGAATACATACGTACAGCTTATCTGTCAGCCAGTCTCTATCTTTCAATGCAACTTCCAGGAAAGAAACAATCTTTTTTTCCTCTTAACTCCTCCCTAAAATTAGCATCTGGGGAGAAGCTGTCTCATCTTCTCTTGTATTTTAGAAAACACATATACTGCTAGAAGGTATAACGCTCCCATCTAACAAGCTGTCATGCTTTTATCAAGAAAAGATTCCTCTTGAAACTATCTACAGATATTTCGATCTTGCAATCACCTCTTGTTTGGATTTATGGAATAAGATTAGCTTGAGTTCATCCTTGAATGAAATGGAAAGTTCATGCTGTAAGAAGTGAGGTTTTATTTTTCTATTTTTTTCCACAGAAAATAGGTGAAGTTTTCCACAGTACACTAAATGCTCAGGAGGTACAACAGTAGGGGGTTCAATTTATAGCCTAAGTGAAATCTGAGATTGTTTTTAGAAGAACAGATACTGCGCAGTCTGATGAAGGCTGTGCTGTTTGTCATCCAGGCAATGATGGATCTTTAACTGTAGCACACAACTCATTAGGTCTACTGAAGGCTGAGGAGATATTAAATGACACTTCCTACCTTTTCAAGGAGGAATCCAAATCCAGTGTACCACTGGACTTCTGCATTCAATGGCATAAATGCACAGGAGGGGAAGCCAGCTCTCCGGAGTTGTGAGAGGTAGCAGGTTAGAATCAGCCAATGAATTATCTAAGTGTACTGTCATTACAGTGAAAACATTTTCCAAGCACACACTGATTGCAGCCAGATCACTTTGACCACTTCTGAGCAAACAAAATGCAGGTACGCACCAAACCAAAGCCTGACTTTTCTACTCAAATACACCCATCAAAACAGTCTCATGTGCCCTTGTCTTTAAAGTCAATCTGTCACCATAAAAATACAGAATGTCAGACTTTCCTCCTCAAAACTTTCACAACACAAACTTCGAACAGCTCTAGACACCACGTTTTCTTCTTTCATTGGTAATGATGTATGGCTTTTGAGAAGACTGCAGACTACTTCTGCTCTCAGTTAAAACTGTAAAATAGAACAAAGTGTACTGAGATTAATGGGTTGATGTGCTGTAAAACTGGTGAGACAACAATCAGACCCATCACCTTTACCTCGAGAACTTGAGCAAAGAATCTAAGTTCCTAGCCTAGGTTAGCCACTGAGGTCCTCTGTGAACCCAGGGAACTCCCCCCTACTTATGTACGTAATGCACATACACATGCTTCCTATCCAGTGTTCTTTCAAATTTAATTAGCAGTTACTTAAAAACCAAATAATGTAAAATCTAAATATATTAGGAGAACAAATTTGACTTTAAAACATCAAAAGAGTGATGTGGTTTATCAAAGTACACTGAACTTGATTAAGAATTGTGTGCGTTATGTGGAATTACTCAAATGATGAATTACTAAACATCATACTTTTTCTAATTCACCTCAGATTTCATTAGTACAAACACACACAGACTATTACAACAGTGGGTTCACTTCCATAAAAATGCCTGTCCAGTTCACTTAGGAAAAGAAGTGAAAAACTGCTACTGCTGTTTTTTTTGTGGTCTTCTGGGGTTTTTTTGTAGGTTTTTTTTTTTGTTTACAAGTTCTGGGGAGGGTTTTTACAAATACTACACAGAACAGGTCTAGCTACAGCATTAAGCATACAAAGCCAACGTCTGCAGTTGCCACATGTCTGAATGCAGACTACATAGCTCAGACGCAGCATGTTCGACACTTTCACCATGTATATGCTAGAGAGCTTATCTCTAGCAGCGAGCACATTCAGATTTCTGGATATCAGCAGCCTGGCTGGAGTTACAGCTCTTACTCTGCTGCCAGACCTTTGAAAATCAAGGACAAATATATCCAGGCCTCATATTTTGATCAGATCATTTCCAGGGTGCAGGAGGACATAAGCCCAGGAATACTCAAATAGAGGGTAGACTTACATATGCCAGCAGATACTGAAACCATACTTGTTATTTCCGCACATGAAAATGGACATATTTCTCAAAAATCCTTTGCTTTTTTTTTTTTTCTTCTTTTTTTTTTTTAAGGAGACTGTCATTTTCTGTAGCCAAAGAGGAGGAAAACCCAGCAACGCTAGACTGAAATGAATAAGGCAGAGTGTCAAAACATCAGAACGAGAGACAGAAAAGAAACATTTTCCTTATTTTCTTGTCATATAAAAAACCTGCAAGAATAACTTGATTCTCTTCGATTTGTAGCTATTCTGTACTGCTTTAAGTTGACTTTAATCTGCTGTGCATTTTGGTCAACTCTTCTCAGGTCAAATTCTCTTAAAGTACCAAATTAATTTCAATGACTCTCACTCAAAAGAGAAAGGACCTTGTTAAGCTTGGGGAAAAAAAAAAAAAAAAACAGGGGCACCTCTGACACTGAGCTCTATCATCCATCATTTAAAAAAAAAAAAACATCAAAATCTTAACTAAGATCCTTCCTACTAATCTAAGCGTCATCAGTTTCCCATGTTCTGTCCATACTAGGTATTTCTGCTTCTGTATTTCTACATCATAGCTTATGAAGAGTTAACATACTCACATACACAAACCTGTCCCTTGTGACAAAACTGAGCTGAAAACCACTGCAAGCCATAACATTCTGGTTTACAGGAGTGTTAACTGACTGCCTCACTTAATTCTGAATAACATATTTTAATCTTCATAGAAGGGAAAACAGAATTCTGGAATTACAGCACTGTGTTTGTGATGGAGGGCCACTTGGTGCTCTCATTATATGCCAAATACATTGCAACTTGCTCTTTAGAATCTCACTGGCATGAAATCTGGCATACAATATGTCAACCAGATGCAAATTTCTTTCTTAAACATGGTCTAAAACGATCATTTAATAGTACTGAGATGTCAAAAAACTAGTGGCTGAGTGATTTCAGATGCTTTTTTAAGCAGTTTAAAACAATATGCTATTTTAGAAAATACCATGGATGTAATTTTTAGAGACATTTGGTCTGTAATGCAAACCTGTGCTTTTAAAGAACAATGATGCTTCCTAAAAAACTGAAGATGAAAGCTACATCATTGTTCAGAAATCAAACCTCATTTTCTGCTTTCTTCTTCCCATTTTCACTCTCACAGTTCCCACAACAACTGGCTCTGGGGTAACAACTGCAGCAAAAATGTGCCAGATTGTTAAGAGAAAAAAACCACAATATCTAGCCTGTTAAAGCCGACAAGCAGAGCAGTCAATGAAAGACGGTTCACATTTCTTCATGTAGCTTCTTAGGAAACGATTCAAGTCGCAAAGATAAGCATAAATTCACCTGCATACCAACGTACGTTGAGAACAGCATGTCATAAACAAAATGGTCAAATACTACTTTTACAGCATCCCTCTTCCGAGTGTTCAAAGGACTCACAAATGTAATTGTCCCACCAAACAAACAAGTCAGAGCTCAAGTGCAATTGCCACTGTTATCTAAGTGAGCACTCATATAGTAAACATATAGGAAGAAGATCTGAAATTCAGACAAGAAAGGAAGTGATGAGTCCAGTCTTTTCTAATGCTGTATTTTGACAACTGATCTACTTTTTGGCGGAACCTCTTTGGACCTCAACATGCTTTCTGAAAACAAAATGTCACATTAATGTCTACATCAATACATTTCCAGTTTTGCCTCAATAGGAAGTAAGACAAAATACCATATCACCATACCTGGCAAAGTTCTCAGAGATCCTTCTTGACTAAAGAACTGTATTTTACAGCCTACCAATTTACACAACAAATTAGAAATTGCATGCATAAATCAAGTCCCTCAAGCCCATGTAGCATGCCTGGCTCAAAGAATGGTATCTTTATGAATAAGTAGGATTTTGCATGAAGAAAATCATAATCTTCATTTATTATTGCAATTTATGTAAAACTATCAAAAATCTAGCAGTTTACACTTAAGAAGCCCAAGATATAAAGATATTCACAGCTAAAGCTCTCCTTCCATTTCAGCTCATCTTGTAATTAGGCAAAGCAGAAGTCTCATGGCTGTCATTCTCAATACTGCAGTACACACAGGCAGTCATTGCATACGTTCGGTATAATGAAGTAAGCTACAGAACTAACTTGCATTTTGAAGTATGGCATTGTTTTAACATAACTTTGCTGCATAATCTTTTCTTTAACAAGCTGGCACAGAATAGCGATTTTGCATTTTAGAGGCATTCCTCTACCACTGCCATTTATTTAATGAGCACTCCTGGGTGCCTTAACCTGAAAGAGTGCTCATTAGATTTGGGCATCTGGTCCTATCAGCAGTCTTCTGTAACTTCTGATGTAAGCTTAACACAGCAATGGACATACCATTTTCAGATGAATTAAGGTTAACTACTCTCCCAGTGAACAGGCAAGCAACTTTTATGGAGAGTATACATGCTGACATCCAAATGCACAATAACAGAAGACCCACAATGAGGAACTAGTTCATCTCATGTGTTTAGATAAATGCAGTATCTTATTACAAGCTGCATCTCAAATTTCTGCTTGGAGCCTGCTCATTATCTTACACATTACAAAAAGGAAGAAATTAAAGAAAGAAGAAGAAAAGGCAGTAGAGTATTGCAGGGAAGAGCTGAAAAGAAAGGGGAGTTGCTGAGGCAAATACATGGGACTAACTGCTAGAGATGGCAGAAGCTGCATAGTGGAAGCCATTGATACACGATTGCGACAGGGCAAGAAGTAGGTTGCTGTCAAGTGAAAGGAGGCGGGGAGAAGAATAAAAAAAGGTCAAAGAAAAGGGTGCTGGATCTATTTCCTCTTCTGAGCTTTTTTATTTTAATATGTAAGAAGTTTGTTGAGGTGAAGAAAACGCACGCATGGAGAGGGCTGCTAAATCACTTTTTGCAACTTTCATAACGAAATAGAAAGGTAAAATACTACTGTCTACCTGACACCTCTCAAGGCTATGACTGATGAGGCTTATGACAGATCTGCCCACCAAACAGTGAAAGAGCTGCAACTCCCTGAAACAGTACACACCCACAAAAGCAGTTTTCCTAGCAGCTTTCTTCAGAAGAAAGAATCACTTCTTTCTGTAGAATCAGCTTCTACAGAAGTGTATTCAAATACAGACATAAAAAGGAGGGATATTAGGTAGCTAAGTCAGGTGCACTACTCTCCCTGCATCCATAGTTAAAGGAAAGAAACTCCTCCAGGGGAGGATTTAAAGTACTTAAGGTTCTGCTCTGAATCATACGCTGAATAAGTCTTTCTTTGCTGTCTCCGCTGATCACAGAGGTAACCAAAGGAGGACACTGCCCAAGGTTAGGTGGCCAGGTGAAGTGTTTAACAATGGGTGGGTACGCTAACGCCCACACAGTTATTACTGGCAGAGACGCTGCAGTTTGTATTTGAGAGGCTCAGAGTTCTTTGGAATAATTTTGGAAGTTATGAGATTCTGCTGCCATTTCCTCAGTTACATCCACATTTGCTGCATCCTTTTCTTTCCCATGCCCTCTTCTGAACCTATCCCCTGCATTTCGAGGTCAAAGTTGATCTTGTACAGCCATTTTCTGTTTTTATATTTGACTAAGTCTGGGTGTTTCAGAACAATGTAGAAAACAGACTGATTTGGGCACGTGAAGCTGAAAGATTTAAACTACAGGTTTTCCTTCTGCAGTCAGGAAAAGATGCCTATTAATTTGTTGTATACTGACAATGTGCCCAGTCTTGTACCAGACTCAAAGACAAGAAGAGCCTGTGCTTGAAGACACGGATTTGTCAGCAGGAAGCTGTACATTTGCTGCAGTCAGTTACTGCTTTGTCCATGTGCAGACAGGCAAGATCAATATTAAGTAACAGTTATTTGCCTGCACTTTGCTTAGGAAAAGCTTCTTCTAGGCACACCGTACAGTTTCTTTTTTCCCCCCACTGTTCTGTGTATATGGCTCCAAGGTACAAAGCAGGCAATGTGTTAGACATTTCCAATGAATGTTGGAAACGAAAAAAATCCATGAGTGCTGACAGCTGGTTAATACGACATTTGTGAATGTTTTCAAAACCACTGAAACCTTGAAGTTTCTTAGTTTATTTTAGCACTTGATCAATAGACCTACCAATAAGGTGAAGCTGTGTTCAGGAAGAATCCCATACAGTTCAACAAGCTTTGCTCTCGTCACACTGGGGAGGTCAGGAAGTCTCTCTCGAATCCAATCAATATTTACTACTTGCTGATGGTTCATATCAACTGGCAAAGATCTGGCATCATACAGAATCAATGGAGGAAGATTTGGCTCCGGCATGAACCTAGTGAAAATTAAGAAAAACTCCTTATAATTATTTTTAGTCAGAAGCTCAACAACAGGAATAAAATCTATATGACAAAGTTTTTGGTTCTCTGGAAGTTATATCACTGCTTTAAGTAAAATATGTAAAATTCAAAACTTGGTATATTACTCTCTAGTAGTAAGAGATAAGTTCCCAAACTGCTGCAAAGCCTCTTTTTATCTGCCACTGATTGTGAAAAAGCGCAATTAAAACAATTCTGCACCTAAAATAATAATAATAAAAAAAGATGTGGAAACAACCTATTCCTTTTGGCATCAAGCATGAATTGTGGATCTGGACAGCAAGGGGAGTAGACTGGCAAGGAGAAACCAAGACTGGCAGGCAATTGCCAGGAGTGATCCATGCAGGTTGCAACCTTTCCATCCTAACCTCACAAATCTTGATAAAAGCTCATGCTGTGCTAAAAGCAAAGTTACTGTGCTCAGCAGGGTGCCATCACAGAACAAAAGAATCCCTTAAAGAGAAGGCCTATTCAAACCACCCAAATAGCTTTGCGATTGCAGCAGAAACCTCACTCTTATATTATCAAATGAGGGCTTCATAAACATCAGAATAAAGGACATTTGGGCACACTCTATGCTTACTGTAGTAATTTCTATTTCAAATCTCCCTAACTGAGAATTTTAAGTTCAATGTATCATGCGCAGCAGTAACTTACAAAAAAATCTGAAAACCAGTTTAATACTGATTGTCATAATCTTTCTGGTCTTCATTTCAAATATGTGAGACTCACCAGTCCTGCCTAAGTTTTCCTAAATTTTGGTTTTTTTTAACATTTGCTCAAATTAATCTCGCTAAATAAATGTCAAGCCTGCCACTATCACATTAAGGAATTCTTAAAATGACCACTGCCTTTTTATGCTGCATTTCTAAAAATGCTAATTTGAAAAGCAGATTTGAAGTTCTTTTCAAAATCCTCACTCCACTCTGATCAGATCAGTGGCAGAATATACACCGATATACCAGGAACATAGATATGGCAAAGCTAAGAGGCTCTAAAAGTTCCCACTGCACAACGACAGTTCTCCAGCTGGGAAATGAACTCTGGTGGGGAGTGCAGAGTAAAGGGAAGACTGTCTCTGGGATGCAGAACAGGGAAGGGAACTACTGGCTGGATCAATGCTAAGATGGCACCGACCAGGTGAGAAGGCAGGCCTGCAGAGAGCAGGAGAAGGGGAGCCCGGAGTCCTCAGCAGTCACTGAGCTGCTGACTCTTCCCAGACTGCTGTCCCCCCAGACACCACTGTGGTTACCTCCCATTCCAGGGCACTCAGCAGCTGTCGGCGCCCTAAATTATTGCTTTGCAGTGCCATCTCAATGCTTTTTCCCAGCAACAATGCCTCCTGACAGTCACCATGCCTGGTCCCCCCTCTCTCTCAGTAGCTCCTTCTTGGGTGGCTATTTACCCTTTCATTGAGCCTGGCTGACTTTGCTGAAAGCAGAGGAAGAGTAGTCACGCAAACCACATTAGCGATCAAAGGGCGATGGCTGACATCTCACACTAGTGAAAGGCAGGAAGTTCTTAGCAGGATAATATCTTAAGTAGGTCTAGGCAGATCTTAAGGCAGACACCTGCCTATAAGTGCTGACAACTTTCAACAGTAGCTAGGATTTTCAAACAGTGCCTATGATCACAGAATTCAAGCATAAAAAGGCAGGGTCTACTAACTGAATATTCCTATTTCCTATTACATCAGGGCACTCCTAAGAATACATGTCTACTGATCACACAACAAACCTTCAACTTATCCACTCTGAGCCAACGCATTCCAGTTGTAGTGTGTGGTAAGGATCTATGGGCTTCAGCAGAACAAGACACAGTCCCAGATCTGAACTGTTTGGACTAGCCCTGATTGTGATAGGTCTCCTTCCCTTCCAGCGGAAGGTTCACTTCTAATACATTCTGTATTGACAGACTTCACATGCTCATTATACTGTCTACATGCAAGAGATGAAGTTAAGATCTCTGTTCTTGTAATTTCAACTTTATTTAAAAAGAATTACCTATAATCCTGTTTCCCTTCTTTATCTCTCATTGGTATAGTGCACCTAAAAGAAAACAACGCAGGTAAGATGCAGTATTTGGTACGCTGCAGAATGAGTTTTCTGGCAAAAAACACAAAACAAAAACTTCACCTCACAAAGATAAGGAGAGCTTCCTCCAGCCACTTCAAAGAAAGTGTGTATGTAACAGGGCAGTCATTTTCACCTAAACACCGCTTGATGTAGCACTTACCATTGCTTCCAGTATTACACAGATATTCCCCTGGTAAGTAAGTAAAATATGTCCGCTAGTCCTGAGGCGACAAAGTGAACGCATCTGGGGCACTGCTCTACAGCCTTTCCCACTAGCCCTCACTGGATGTTTTAGTGAAGGAAAAAAAAAAAAAAATCACAGAATTCAGACTAATTTCTTTTCAGAAGTCTGCTCTAAGTGACTTCCACCTAATTCTAGGACTGCTCCTAAATCTGCCAGTCTCTTGACTGACACTATGGGACTATAGGGAAGTCACTTCACTTCTCTGTGTCCGTTTCCCCTTCCATTATTTGCCTGTCTTGTCCATTTAGACTGCAGAGCAGGAACTCCACGCACAGTCTGTTGTGTGTGAAAGCCTCAACTCTAAGAATGAATTACTCTCTATGATAGGACTACGCTTGTGAACATTAGCTTTAAAAGACCGAGGTAGAGTGATACCATGTTATTTCTCCTGATCATGTCACTTGGTATCCCTGGCATTCTAAAGCTGCTATTCCCAATATTCTACTAAAATAAAGAGCTCACCCAAGCTTGGAATCAAAGGCTCTTGTTTCATTCAGAATTGTCCCTCCATTTTCAAGTTCTTCAATCTGCCTCTGTATTTCATAGTCTGACAGCAACAAAAGAAAAAGAATAAGCTTGTTACACTGCACTATTAGCTTTTATACACTTGACTATTTCATTTTTCACTGCTATATAATAATGGAAAAGTTTGTTGTTTTAATCTTAACGAAAGCAACAGCAGTGCTTACAGGCAGAATTATCAGTCACTGTCTCTCTCTCCAGCACTGTTTCTTTCTTTTGCGTGTTTTCCTCATCCTCTTTCTTTCTCTTTCAACAGAAAACGTTTCTCCCAGGCACTGCAGCCAAGCCACACATTCCTAGTTACCTTCCTATCACCCAGCTGAGTATTTGGAACAAGAATTCTCATCCCCTTCATGCCAGTTTTGTTTTGGAGATGTAATAATCATGCTTTCTTGCTCCTACCCAAGCTGCATGCTCTCTGAACTTGACACACACCGTCTATTGTACTCAGCTGAAAGCTATCAATTTCATCTGCAGACACAGAGCTACTGATAACACAGATCAGAGCTGAACACACTAAACACCGAATCATCTGCTTTGTTCTTTTGGCAGGCGTAGGGTCACCTCTGCAAGAAAACTGCAGTCTAACATGGCGGCTACCCCTGGAGTATCCTCTACCAAGATATATTTTGTCAGGGAGCAGCAAGAGCAGGGCTGTTTCACAAAGGGGGACAAGCTAGGAGCTAAGGATGACTGCAACACAAGGAGCGCCCTCACTGACCAGAGACAGTCTGACAGGGCCTGCACAGCACGGACTGAGCTGTGTGCTAGTAACAAGGTCCATCAACCCAGTCAGGGTGAGGGGGTGCATCAGGTCCAGGTCCATCCAGGGAGTCCAGTCAGAAGCAGCAGAAGATGCGACCAGCGACAAGACTGGACACACAACTACAGTGTAGGTCCAAGGTCCATATGGAGACAGGCACACCTATGATGTAGTTCAGGCAAAGTTCAGGCCTGAGCTTAAATGGGACTCCTGGACCCATGAGCAGAGTGTGTAGGTGGGAGTCCCAGGTGAAGCTAGTCAAGGCAATTAAGTCCTATTAGTGCACTCAGGACCCTGACATATTTCACTTACTGAGAACACATTAAAATATCTACAGTGCTCCAGTAATGAGGTAACCATCATTTACCTACTGCTTTTGCCAGGAATCGCATGCTATTGATATTCTTCACTTCAGTCCTCACTCCATAAGGCTCTCCGGGGTGATGCACAGAAACATTGGCATCCACTCTCAGCTGACCCTCTGTAAAAGGAAACCTCATCAATAGAATAGTCTGCCCGGCACACTAGAATAAAAACCTTGGCATGCATTGATAAACTGCACATTATGCGCAGGGCATTAATAGAGGACTTCCATATGTTCAGAAATGAGTAACAGCCATCTCACAGTAGCTTTCTGTTTATGATTCCATTCCAAACCTCTGATCCAGTCATTCAAAATTTTCTGAGATTACAACTTTTTTTTTTTTTTTTTTTTTTAAATAGTATTGCTCATCATTCCTCTCAGAGGAAACTGTATAGCACAGTAAAGGGCAGATCCTCTAAGTGAAGATCCATATAGCGAGAATAGTTTCTGATTCACAGCTCTTAAAGAAAGGGCAGAATTAGACAAGTCATTTAAAGTGGTGGACTGAAAGCTTCCATTCTTCTAAAAACAGCACAAAAACACCTTTTGGAATTACGACTTGATGGATACATACTAACCTAGCACGGAACACAAAAACTTGCAGTTGAATAGATTTACTAAGGCGTCCTTGGGAATTTACAGCTCAAGGACAAAATGTCAGAAATAGTGAATTTTTTGTAATTTTTTTTCCCCCCTCTGCTTCAAGTAACTGCAATCTTTTCCCCAAACAAACTTCCCTGGCTGCCAAAACCTGAAACCGAATACAAAGTTATACCTAAACAAATCTCACACTTTTAGTGCATAAATGGGCTAATGTTCGCAGGGATCCTTTCTAATTCAACCACAAGTAACTCAGAATTTTATCCTTACAAGTTTTGTCCCTCTAAAGACCTCCCTTCTAAGGAGAGAAGTTTGCCACCATTAGTCAACTGAGGGGGAAAAAGAAACCTGAGAGGTTACACTATAAAAGACACATCATTTTTCCCATATTGCACAGAGAACATCTCTAGACTTCCTCTTTGTTGTTTAATTTCAAATACAGATAAAAAGAAACAAAACATGTGATGTTTCTATATAGCAGCAGTACTAAAGAAAATGCAAAACAGCTCAGTGTTAAACCTGCAAAGAAGTCTACAGCTTCAAAACCCATTCCAGTCAATGGATGTAAACTGACTACAGAGGACTTGGTACATTCTGTAAAAGTAGGCTGGATGTCAGCACATCAATTTTCTCTGTCTTCACAGAGTCTTGCCAGACACGTAAATGAAGGACAAAGGTGCTGGAATGACCCAACTTCTCTTGAAAGAGAAATGTTTTGCACGGGCTCATTCTTTGGGGTGAAACGAGTACTTGTTCCAACAGAGGAATATTCTTGTCTTGTCCTTGCTTCATTTTGAGACATGGCCTGCTTCTACTTGGATGCAGGTGTCAATGTGACAAGACAATGAAGTTAATCAACCGTAAGTGAAAGGAGAGCCAGGCACCATGTGTTCTTAAAAAGGCTTTCTCCCTGTAAGCCCAGCTCCTTTTCCCATTTGATCATTTTGCAATGAAATCATGTTTTCATTTGTCTGTTGTCAATGAAATAAGAGCCGATAAAACTGGGTGTTTGTCTTCACTGAACACACAAGTAGAACGAAGGTAAAATGAGAGCAAGTAGAGCCCTTATTTAAAAGCTAGGAATTACGGTGAGGGAAAAATCACAGTAGAAAGCTCTTTAAAAGACCACTTGAAAAAAAAAATCCAAATACTTTTAAAGTCAATTATATTGGAGGGAAAATATTTCCAATATTGGAGTCCTCCTTTAAAGTCAGAATTCTCAATGCAGCAGAAGATACCACAGTGCAACTCCAACGGAACTCCTAGGGCCAAATTCAGTGGTGATAAATGACTGCATATGGATACCAAGGCCTGTGAAGAAGTGTGCAAAATGGGTGCTTAATTTTAAACAACCATCCCCCATCTGATGCGTGTAAAACTAGTGTGAATAAAGATTCAGACAGAAGTAGCAAGTAGGACAAGGCACTGTGTCAACATATATAATGCCTAGCCATTATTACTTCTCTCCTTACGTTAAATTAGACTAGAAGTCCTAGCCAACATTTCTTGGGTCACATCAGTCTTGGGTGATACATGGACTGCTCTGACTGAAATCTCTAGGACATGTATCCACTTATACCATGGCCTGAATTTGTTGCTAGATCAGTAAGGCCAACCATCATGGGCAAAAATATAGCTTAAATTGTGAACACTAACAGGCAGCACATGTTTGGGTATACATGCGCCTATGAACAAACGCCCAAAATTGTACTTTTGAATTCTCAAACAGAAGCCTGCTACTTGCTAGCTGCAACCATGAGCTGGTTGTAAATTTTGATAACACTAGGACCAAGAAAAAGTGGCATATCCTGAATTCTCCAATTAACAAAAAGACAAGAGAGAGAACCACCAATTAGGAAGCTGATCACACGTACTTCTGCAGCCTATTTGGATTGGGAAAGCTGGGGCCTTAGGGTTCCAGAAAGAAGAGCTGGTGTCAAAATAAGGGTTTCCCAAAAGTGGTCTCAGAAAGAAGGTGAAGACCTTGACTGGAGGAGAGATCCTGGAAGTGGGGAAAGATCCTGAAATCTGAGAGATGCATAAAGATGAACGCTGGGGGAAGCCCAGGGACTCTTGCTGGTAATGCTAGAGACTGGTATCTGCAAGCAGCTGCAGAGCACAAACTGACATGACTTTCTGCCTGACCTCCCCAGACCAGCAGCGATCTGGGATAATACTGGGAAAGGCAGTCGAGGATAATACTGGAGGTCAGGGAAGGAGTGTGCGAAATAATCAAGTAGAGTAATATCTCTAGTCTCATTGCTTCTTAAATAAATCCCAGTATCCAGATCTGCTATGGGTTGTCACTGACTGTCTCATCTGTGACACCAATACAGGTTTACTGCTTACACCCATCTTGTGAACAACTGAGACCTGTCACACAGCTTACCACACAATGCATGCTCTCACTGACTTTGGCCCGTAACTTCCATATTCCGTAACTAATCATCACTACAGAGCTTCTGTGCTGCAGCTCTGTGGCAAACAAGATGAGGACAGACAGGGAGAAACACCACAAGAACTGGACGTTCCTTCCTGCTTATTAATTTATCCGGAAAATTACTGTGAGGTGATATAAAATCTAACACTGCAAAGCTTTGCAGAGGAAGGTAGGCCCATAAGGGCACTTGAAGCATGGCACACATTAGGATAGGCTCTGAGGATTTTAAAAACAACAGCGAGAAAAGGCTGTGTTAAGCAACTGTAGAGCAAAATAACCAGAAGCTGCAAAACTCCTGGAAATGCAGAGAATTACAGGTGACAAGAGAACATGCCCTTCCTCCTTCCATACCTGCCATGATTGCTTGGCTGCTCCCAAGTGTTTGAAGAATAAGCTGAAGCTCTCTGACTGCTGCAGCTGCTTCTTCCCCACAGCACATATCAGGCTCCATGACAACCTCCATGAGGCCGACTCCTATCAGCGAAAGAGACAAGAGATTTCCAACAATAGCTTTTGATCTCGGCATATTAGAGTGCAACTGGCTAAGCACATGAAAGCACTTGGGTTTATTTTGAAAAAATAAAAACCCATGTATTATTTAGTAACTAACACAATGGACCTAGCTGCAGATTGCTATAAAAACCTTCTCCTCCTTTTATTTTTTAAAGGAACAGGCAAACAGCAGACATTCCTCCAGCCCTTGATGACATGCGGAACAGAAGGAAACTTGGCCTTTCTCTCAGAGAACTCCTATTTAAAGCCTGTCTGATTTCAGATTCAAATTTATTTTTCTTAAACTACTTTTGGAACAGACAGAGCTATAAACAGATGTACTCTAGCATGCAGTTTGAGGATCCAGCCTTCAGAGAACATGAGCAATGGACACTGGAGCACTATCTCTCTGTTAGGCTACGCTGTCCAGGTTACTGCCTGTGTTGCGTACTAACTTGGTTCATGTAGTTTACAGTTTCAAAGTTTAAAGACAGTTTTCTCTACACTTTTTCAAAGCTAATAATTAAAAGAAATGTCTGATTCACGCAGTGACAATTCCAACATCTACTCCTTCTATTCACAGAATTGCTTCATAAAGGTTTCTGCGATTTTTTTTTTTTTTTTTTTTTTTTCTGAAAACAATGCTTACAGCGGCAAGAGCTTAAACAGCTCTCTGAGCTGAGCGGCTGTGAGAGACTGACGGTTCTGGGGAATTGGAGCCAACCTGCCATTGCCAAATGCCATCAGCCAACAACCATGAGAAAGGCCCAGTGGTCATTTAAAAAAATGCATGCATTCCCCTGCTTCAAATGTAATGGTCACTGTGATTTGTTCTGATTTTCAGCGAAAGAGACATCAGGTTGTTCTAATTTTCTGCCTGTTCCCTGTCACCCATCTACCTTTAAAGACTCATCTTACAGAGAAGAGAGGGAAAAATAGGAAAATAATCCAAGCCTACCAGCCCTATTCAGGTCAATGAGAGTCTGGCTCCTTGCGTCATCATGGAGACTCTTTCCACTGTCTTGCTCCAATTGGATTTGCTTAATCCTCACAGTTTTGGTCACCATCTGGCTCATTTTGTTGTCCACGCAGAGACTGTACGACAGACTCCCATTCACTGCAATAGGAACTCTTTGCTGAGTGATTTGATAGCCAGCCTGTCAACAAAATTAGCTGTATGGTCAAATAAAACATTTACTTTACAGAAAGCAGCAGCATGGCCAAATGCAGATATTACAGACTAAATTTTCCACAGTGACCTAAGTGAGTGATAGAACACATGCACGAGCAAGTTCACAAGCTTTATTGCTTCACTGGAAGGGAGGGAAACTTGAAGACGGAACTAGAATTCAAACTAACTGTGACTAGTTGTAGAGCTGGGAAAAATAGAAGAGCAGTCCTGAATAAGGCAAGTATAAAGATACTATAGTAATGCCGAAATAATCAATAACCAACTGCACAAACACTTGCCATGGATGACAACTCTTGCTGATGCTGTCTTGGGGCAGGATACGGACTAGAAGAATTTCTTCCAGGCCTGTGCTTCTGTCATCATGTTGTATCTTGTCTGAAGACCCTAACCCTACCTCCACCCCAAATTTGCACTATCACTCATCTTCCTATCAGGCTGAATCTCCCTCCCTGCCTGTTCAGAACCTATTTACTGGGGGGTAGGGAGGAGGTGCAGAGGAAGAAATTAGAAGGTGAAGGAGGAGGGGGGGGGGAGAAATCAAGAAAATGAGGACATTTAGTTTCATCAATGCAGCAATTTACAAGCTAGACATTACAACTCCACATAAGGCACACAGCTGATAAATGCCATAGCAGACTTGGGGCTCCACTGAAGGAGGAAACTGCCAGTCAGACAAAAGGCTGCCAGTGACAAGGTATTGGAATCACTGCACTGACCGAAGAATATAGGAGTGAATAATTTACTCTGTTGAGGTAGGGTCCCCATCTCCTCCTCCCTGCTAGCAAGCTCAGTGGTGAGAATTAAAAAAAGCCTGCCAGATTTCAATGAATTGGGAGGAGTATTTGTTTTCCAAGAAGGAAGGCTGTTACTCCAAAGTTTGGAGATGTTGATAGTGCACTGGGGTGGAGGGCACTGGTCTGGTACACTGAACAGCTCAGTTTAGATGATGAAGTGCATGACCTTCTAGCCATAATCACTACAATAAAAATAAAATAGATGACTCTATGCAGTCTATGCTAAGCACACGGTTTTTCCCACCTCCTACAGCTTCTCGTTAAAATGTTTTTTTTTTAGGCCTCAAATAATGAGTGACAATAAATAGAAAGAATCCTATTTCCCATTCACTGCCCCATGTTCAGGACTAAAAATAATCTCATTGTCAAAAGACCTTAAGAGTAGGATTTATTTTATCTGTTCTACACAGCTCTTTAGCCTAAACTCTACATCTTAATACAGGGTTCCCGACTGGACTGTTTCACTATGATATGCAGGTCAGGCAGTTTATTGTCAGTGTTTTAAACAGAAGCCAGCCACTAGAAAACCAGAATTGTGTGTTTCAACCTAATAAAATGTGTCAGTATCTCCTTGACTCAAATTTCCATGCTTATCTGACCAGAGGATTCTGCAGTTCAGGTCAGCAGGCAACAGCAGCACACAGCGTGTCTTTCACCTCACTCTCCTCTAAACAAATGGATGAGATTTCTTTTACATGGCAACAATCTTCGATACAGTTTCTATGCAGTAGTTTGATAGCAGGAGAAATCACAAGAAGAAAATCTGATACTGTTTTCAGTTTAACAGCAGAACCACCAGAGGTAGGATGCAAACAGATCCGTGATGTTTTTGGTGCTTCTTTATGACGTATAAAAGAATCCTGAAAGTTGCGTTTATTTCTTGCTATTTCATATTTTTTCTCCTTCTGGCCTGGAAACGGTCCTTGAGATAGCATTGTAATTAAAAGAAAGTACTAAGATTCCAAAGCGATCTGTTTCACACCCCTAATAGCTCACTATTGAAGCTCACTTACAGAATCCCCAACAATAAGACCTCTTGATAGCTCACAAATACTAATAAAGTTATCCCCGCAAGCTAAATCAGCAATTATATCAACTTTATAGAAGGGAAACTAAGAGTCACGGGTTCCCGACAAAGACGACGACAGTACTCAGATCTCCTCTGAGAGCCAGATCTCGAGCGGACAACCGTAATACCATTCTCTTTCCAAGGTGAGAAGCAAGTGTATTTGAATGTATGTGTTTTAGGTGACTTCAAAGTATTTCCAATGCCTGAACAAACAGTAGGAGAGAACGTAGTCCAGTTAATAACACAGCACCTTATTACATTGATTTGAGACCTCAGAAATCTCCTAGTCTGTTTCTCTGAATATCTGGGACACCTCACCTAAAGAGAGGATAAACTAGCATGCCTGATCTTCCTCAGATAAAACAGAAGCAGATTTATTCTAAGCAGTCATCAGATCTTCACCCCTAAGATCAGAGGAACTAAAACTAGTGTTCCTCTCTTTGACAGGTTAGCGTTAAGTTGAACAGTCGGAACACACTAACAGAAAAAAAAAGTTTATAATTAGAAAGGTTTAACATCATTAAAACAGAAAAAAAGGTTCAAACTCTGCTGCATCCTGTTGTAATCACAGAAGTCAGGTCCTTAACTGATTTCACCATTCTTACGTTCACACCAAGCACAGTAAAATGCATTAGACTTTCGGCGATAGTTTTTTCCAAACATGAGAGCTACCAACAAACCATACCACAAAGACTCACTTTTAAATTTACTGGAACTCATGACTGAGCAAGTTTTAAAGGGACATTAAATATTTTTATGTCCTTAATCACAGAAAAAAGACACTATTACATTTATGCCTTTGAAACCTGTGTTTCTTATATATTCGTTTTAAACGAAGGACTATGATCAGACTGCGTTTACCCTAACAGATGATTAGTATTAAACACCAGGAATGGAAAACTTAAGGGGCAGAGCAGCTCCAGCCCCCAATTCAATTACTTAAGCCACTGGAATCGTGCAGCTAAGCAAGGAGTCAGCAATCAGAGCAATCATATTCAATCAGTGAACACCAGGGTACAGCTGTCTATTCATCAGAGCACAGCACAGCACCCCATTGGAGTAAGCAGAATGAAAACAGAATAAGCATCTCTTCGCTCATACCCTGTTGCCATTCATACTCCAGACTTATCCTTTTCTACAGCTGTAAAGGGACCAGCTAAACTGCATACTTACAGGCAGATCTGCATAGAAATAGTGTTTTCTGTCAAACAAGGACTTCTTGTTTATGCTGCAGTTGAGTGCCAGGCCTGTCATCACTGCTGCTTCTACACATCTCCTGTTGAGAACCTAAGGAAACACGACACACGATTTTGCTCAGATACTCAGTATGTAACAAATGCATTTCCCACACGCTGCCTTGTATGGAGCGTATATTCAATTTTGCTCGCCTTCAACCAGCATTATGTCTCTTTCCTTGTGTGGGTAGTTCTTACTCATCATTAAAGCAGTGGTAGCTACACATCAGCACAGTTTTAAGATAAAAAAAACATTTTGTCATGCCACAGGAGGAGATGGGCACTGTTCGGGCTTGCTACTTTTGTGAATACCCTAGTACTCTTGCACTCTCAAAGATAAGCCAATCACAGTAAATAATAATTGGCTTGTATCCAGCTGCCACCTCACTGGGAACATAGGGTTTCTGAGTTAGGGATTGGGGTGCTGTTTCAGTAGAACACCTCAGAACATGTGTACCTACACTGAATTCATGAGAATTCACACACAGACTTCTGTGCTTTGCTGAACAAGGATGAAATTAAGCACATTTATATGCTTTGCTAAAACGGAACCAGAGAGACATCAATTAATCCCATGGCACATGCACTTCCAGGACCCAGGGAACCCGTGGGCTTCAGGTTTTGCAGGATGTCACATGATCTGAAGACCCAGCAAGGCCTTCATGAAGAAATGAAGGAGTTGAACTGGGGCTGCAGTTCTTCCCACGGACCCAGCACTCAGTGCTACACTGTTCTACCTTCCCAGCAGGCTCAGGATTCTGAGGAGAAAGGTAATTCCATTCCGAAAAGTACTAACAAGCAGGGTCTCAAAGTTATGGTTTTTTTCAGATGTGCGCTCATTAATTTAACAATGAGTTCAACTAACATTAAATTGATAAGACTGAATTCGTCTTAAAATAACTCTGACATGCACACATTTGCAGTGTTTTGAAACAAGAGCAGAACTTTATCCATCTTATTTTGCTTTGTAGAGCTGCCAAGAAATCAATTTCCACCAGGACCATTAAAGGGGCACATTAGGTACAGGAATTTAAAAGACTTCATCTACATTCAGTAGAAAAAAGAAGCACAGATCTTAAGTATTATTTTCTTCAATATTTCTGAGTATTTACTTTCCATATACACCAGCCTGACTTCTGAGAACAGACTGAGCAGCTGCACTTTTCTCATCACCCACCTCTTCACTGCAAAAGGACTCTGCTTTACTCATCTAGTATTTGAGGAATCAAAACTTCACTGAAAAATAACAGAAATTCTTCATACAAAAGAAACTTAAAAATTGCTTCAGATCTTTACTGCAACTATATATGGCTAACTAGAACACATCTAACTACACATGGCTAACTAGAACACTACCCTGCTGGGGCAGATTATGTTTATTAAAATTTTTAAAAGATGCATAAAGGAAATTTTGAAAGAGGAAAGAGGAAGAACAATTTCCCCTTGAAATGCTGACCTGCAGCAAGACAAACCCAATTAGTTGCGACTGTAAACTGAAGTAGGCAACTTCAAAATGTTAATTTATTTTAGTATCATAGCTGCACTTCATTACTAGCACATGCTTCTATTTTCAGCAACTAAACACTGAAAATAGCATTTATCTTCCAGACAGTACAGATACAATTTTTTTTATCCTTTAAGGAAGCTTATCGCAATGTTAGTCCAATTTTGGAATATGTAAAATATCGTAACTTTTCTAACCACATAGGCAGTGTTTCTTCCTCTAAAGCCTTAGGGCACAATTCTAGTTAGGAAGGTCTATGCCAGTCAAGCCCTTTTAACAGGTGATCACCAAAAACCATTAAGGCTCCACACGGACTGGGTAGACTCAGAACACCACTGCACAAAGCAGTGAACAAATGCCCAATATCTTGCTATAATGTTTCCTGATGGTGAAGGGATTATGAACTGTTTCTGAATCCAAGAACAAGGTAAAACCCAAGCCACCAGTTGCAGTCAGTCAGTCTCAGAGCAGGTATGGTAATCGCAGGTGGAGTTTTGCTAGTGACTGCACTACAATTACCACCTTTGCCCACGTGCTCTTCCGCCTTTATTTCAAACAAGATAGAGTATATTCTACTCATCAGCCTAAGAGATAATACTATTTCAGGGGGAAAAAAATAATCCCTACATATATTTTACCTTAGTGAGCTTCTGCACTTTTGCTGGTGATCCGTTTTGGTAGCTGTGGGGAAAACTGGTATAAAAATGTGAAGTATTGATTATTTTCTATGTAGTACTACTAAGCATTTAGATTAATGTGATGCATATGTATCCCCAATGCATTGGATCGTAACAGCCCAGTCATTGTATATGCGTCATTACTCATGCACTAGTAAAACTTTCTGTGCTATCTCTTTATTGACCTCTGTGGCAATAACAGACATTGCAAATTGAATCTTTTCCACCGTGCCATACTGAGATGTCTACCATGCCAATCTGTTTCCCTTCCCCTGTTTGACTCTTTAAGAAAAAAAAAAAAAAAAAAAAAAAAACTGATGACCCTGTAACTTCCTTAAAAATCAAAACTTATCTGGTTAATTTTTCTCCATTTCCAAAGTGACTAATTTACTACTACCTGTTCCAGTATTTCATGATCAAAGCTGTGCACATGAAGCAGAGATGGTCAGGCAAACTACTACTTTTCCTTGGAACAAGTCTAGCTTTTCAAATAATCTGCAGTGATAAACATCAATTCAGCATGCGAAACTTCCCATACTAATGACCTAGAACAAGTCCCCCCCAGCTTGTTTATGTAGTAAGCTGTTATTAAGTTGACAGCTTTGACTAGCATCGAAGATTTAAATTACTGGCTTGAACTGACAAGCTGCCAGTCTGGTATGTTAGCAAAGTGCTGGCCTTGAAAGAAAGCTATGTAGTTCCTGGAATAGCTATGGACAAAATAAAAGAGTCTACAAAGTCTTTCTTAAACATTTCTGGTCTTCTAAAATGGAGATATCTCTCATAGGTATTTATTTCAAGAAATTCCAAGAAAGATATCACAAGAGAAAATGTTAATTGTTTGTACTGGAAATCCATGAAAATCCTTAACAGTGGCTTCAGAACACCAGTATCATTTCCCATGTAGCTATGTTATCTTGCTAGAGCACCATGGTAATTGAGAGCCAAAGGAATGAAAGAACAATCCAACAAAGATCTCTCTTTTTCTGATACTCGTCTATTCTTTACATCTTCTCCACAAGTGGAAAGATTCCTTTTACAAATTTATCACCTTTAGTTGTAAGCTCAATTTAGTGAGGATCTTCATTTTAAATATAAGATTATTCAACAGTTGTACAAGACTGTACACAGTACCTTCAACAGCATAAATTCCCACTAACAGTCAATTTGTAACAGGTTGAGTTTCTTTAAATAGCAGGTTTACTCATTGTATTAATACATTAAAGAAAGCTGGTTCCCTTTTAGGTGAAGATACATGTTTCTACACTTAGTAAACAATCATTTTTGCATATTAAGAGAACAGGTACATGCCTCCTTGTTTTGCTAAGGAGTATTACACAGGATGAGTGGGGGGAAAAAAAAGAATCATCTAAATCACTTTCCCAGAAAAAGTTTATTTTTGCTCCTCTTTTAAAAAAATGTTTACTATGGCAGTGGCATCTCGGTACCCTCATTTATGAAACAAGGTATTTCTTAACTAAACACTGGAAAATCAGAGTCATTCCCTAGAAATTTGAAAATGTTTTGATTCCAGGTCACACATTTTAATAAATTAATTCCATATTAATTGGTTATCCCAAGACGACCTTCGTTCCCATTTATAATCATGAAGAAATAACCATCTTGTAATTAACTACAGGACTATTTATCTAGGAAATATTTAATTTTATCTCCTTTCCATTCAAAGTAACAGCTGGAAGTAAGAACTAGTGCAATGTATTTAGCCAGCTCTCTGTAGACCAGGCAGTAATCTTTAGAAATCTCATCAGATATCTCTAATCATGTTTCCAGGTACTTCTATTGCATATCCCTCTAATTTTTATTTGCTTCCACTAATGGATATATTCAGTCTTATCATTTTGCTGTGTTAATAGTCCCAACTTGCTCTGATATATGCTTCTTTGAAGTTCATTCATAGGTTAAAGCTCAAAATAAATTACTCCCACTGTCATCTTACATCATTTCCGAATCTTGGCTATCTGCTCTCTGCTCCCTGTTGCAATCTTTACGTGCAATGAAAGCTCCCAGTCCTTTGCTGCAACTCCCTCGTCCCTTTTTCCCCCATTTGTAGTCTCCTGAACCATGCTCGTTTGCTCATCAGAAAACGAGCCATCTTTCTCTCCAGGGTGGTTCTCCTGACGTAGTTTTCTTAAGAGAGCACCACATATAAATTGGGAACAAATAAAACAGAAGCAGTCTATCACTCAGAGAGACAAGATACTTATTTAGACAAACAATAGGCCACATAATGCAACAAGTCTTGCAAAAAGCTATTAAGAAGGAAACTAAAATTTCTTCTTAAAAGGCAAGTAAGTTGTTCTGGAATAGCAGAACTAATGAGGACTATTTCCTATGAATAATCATCCTGGCTTGTTTTAGCTAGGCAGTGACCTCAGTAGTCTCTTTCCCGTGATTCCCCCCACCTTTTCCCCATTTCATCTAACAATTAGCAGGATGAGATTGCTGTAGCAGATCCTGAATGGAGTATAAAGTGTCACAAATACCTGCATGGCAGCAGCCCAAATAAAGCTGACAGCGGTGGGGAAAGGGGAGTCACTCCATCACTAATATGAGCTTCCCCTTCATGCTTGCTAGTATAGTCACAAAACCTTCTATTAGCTTAATATTTTTGAGACAAATTTGGCTGAACCTGGTTAAAGGGTTCAGAAAGTATTAGCTAATAGTGCAATTGCAAGAGTAATGTTTCTGTACATAAAACAATGGTTGCAATAGCAAAAGTCGTACATATAACTAACAAAACACCCATGGCAGAAGCTTACATGGTCTCTGTCAAAATCAAAAATACAGACATAATATATTTGAGGTGGCAAGGTGGCTGGTAATCAGAGAGAAGAATACAATGAAAAATTA